CCTCCACTGCCTTTCCGGGCCACAGCAGAGAGCTGGACTGGAAGAGGAGCAACCGGGACAGAATCCGGCGCCCCAACCGGGACTAGAACCCAGAGTGCCGGCACCACAGGTAGAGGATCAGCCTAGTGAGCCACGGCGCCGGCCCATCCCATTCTTCATTAAGATTCATTTTTAATTATTTTTATATGCAGAAGATCAACTAAGTATATACTAAGTAAAGATTTCAACAGTTTGCACCCACACAGACACACAAAGTATAAAGTACTGTTTGAAGACTAGTTTTACCGTTAATTCTCATAGTACAACACATTAAGGACAGAGATCCTATGTGGGGAGTAAGTGCACAGTGACTCCTGTTGTTGATTTAACAATTGACACTCTTAGTTGAGACTAATATTCTTAAGTCAGACATGTAGGGTTGGCCCCCATTATATGCACATCTACAGTCTTATTTCATACTACACTAGATTTGCTATTCGCATGCCTTCTCATTAGTCTTCTTGCTGTTCTTACAGCAAGCCATGAGTTTTTAAACCTGAGGGACTTTGCATATTCAATTCTCTATGCCTGGCAGTGATTATCAAAATAGTCAATCAGCAGGGGGACAAGGTACTAATCAATCAAAAGTAACACGATGACTAGGTGAGCATTTGGCTGGTGGTTAAGATGCCAGTTAGGCTGCCTGCATCCAGTATCAGAAAGCCAGCTCTGAGTCCCAGGTATGGTTCTAATTCCAGCTTTCTGCGAGTGCACACCCTGGGAGGCAGTGGTGATGGCTCAAGTAGTCGAGTCCCAGCCACTCAGAAAGGAGACCTGAGTTGAGTTCTTTGCTCAAACTCTTGGGTTGGTCCATTACAGGCATTGCAGAGTGAATTAGTGGGTTGGAGCTCTATTTCTGTCTCTGATCGAAATATAACTAAATTACCAAAAACAGTGACATGGGTGAGAGCAGGATTCTGGAAGCCCCTGATGAGACAGACATTAACGTCTACCTGGGGGACCTAGTGAGGTGTGGTGGGGTCCTGGGACTGTCTGGCACATGAGATGGCAGCTGCCACAGGAGAATCAGTGCAGTGACTACTAATTGCATACTAAGTCCTGTCTCTTCTTGGGAACCTTCTTTCTTCAGTTTGTAGCACACACTCCTGGCACCTGTTTGTGTCATCTCTTTTTCTTCCTTCATGTTCCACTTTCCCAGAAGGAACTTTTCTTGACATTTCTAATGAAGACTGTTTTTATTTAGGCTTTCATAGGTACTTCTGTGCCTTTCACCATGGGCAATTTGCAAGTACAATTATTATCATTTGAAGACAGCATCAGTCTACTAGTTGATAAACCACTGCATCACCAATCTAACAGCCCTACCAGAACCTCTGCCTCCCTCTGTATAACCCTAGTACCTCAGAGGTGCTCAATCAATATTTATCTAATGCATGAGTTTTTAAAAGTCTTTGGAAATTTCTTTTGGTTATTTATTTGAAAGGGAGAGTGACAGAGAGGGAGAAGAGGAGGAAGAGAGAGAGAGAGAGAGAAAGAAAGAAAGAAATATCTTTCATTTGCTGGTTCACTCCCCAAATGCCCGTAATAGCCGGGACTGGGCCAGGCTGATTCCTGGAGCCAGGAAGTCCATCCCCATCTCCCACATGGATGGCAGGGACCCAAGTACTTAGGTCTTCATCTGCTGCTTTACAGGACGCATAAACAGGAATCTGAATGGGAGGTAGAAGCAAGATTTGATATTTGATCCTAACCACTCCAGTATCAGATGTAGGTATTCTAAGTGGTAGCTTAACTCGCTGTACCACAATGCCAGACCTACCTTTGTAGTTTTAAAATGTAATTGATATGCATGTTATCTTGGCGGTACACTGTGGAGAAGATACCATTTTGCAAGCTGCCACCTTCTTCATGCTTTCTTATATTTTCTTGCAATAATTTTCAGTGGTATCCAGCTCCTATGCCATGACTTATCCTTTATTTCCAGGAGAAATGCTTCTCATTCATTTGATATCCAGTGCAAAGGTTTAATCTCCTAAGTTGACTTATTCATTGTTCTTTACACACAGCAAGACACTGCTTGAAACTTTCTACAAACAAGAATGTTGGGAAAATTGGAGTACACTGTGGTTCTACTTTCTGACCTATTTCTAGGAGTTTGTGCCATTTTTTTCTCATTACAATATCAGAACACAGATGATACATTTTGTCCTCTGTATGACATAGAGCAAAGCTTCACATTTATTTGATGGCTTTTTGATGACCATGACAATGACAATGACAGTGTTACTAGAAGGATTCTTCTTTTTCTGAAATCCCCAACTACATATTCTTTTTAAAACTGCTGTGTTTTTTTTTTTGTTTGTTTTTGTTTTTGTTTTTGTTTTTTTGACAGGCAGAGTGGACAGTGAGAGAGACAGACAGAGAGAAAGGTCTTCCTTTGCCGTTGGTTCACCCTCCAATGGCCGCCGTGGCCGGCGCGCTGCGGCCGGCGCACCGCGCTGATCCGATGGCAGGAGCCAGGAGCCAGGTGCTTTTCCTGGTCTCCCATGCGGGTGCAGGGCCCAAGCACCTGGGCCATCCTCCACTGCACTCCCTGGCCACAGCGGAGAACTGGCCTGGAAGAGGGGCAACCAGGACAGAATCTGGCGCCCCAACCGGGACTAGAACCTGGTGTGCCGGCGCCGCTAGGCAGAGGATTAGCCTAGTGAGCCGCAGCGCCAGCCAAAGCTGCTGTTTTGTTATTAGGAAGTTCTTCCAGGTAGTTTTAGTGTATAAACTGGATGGCTATAGTTTCATCAAGGGAGGACCTACCAGATTGATTCAGTTAAGTTAAAGGCTTAAGCCTTTGTGGTGGCTGAGTCTTCCTTTTAATTCCCAGACATAGTGGAGGTTGTGGATGTACCATAACTTCTCATGTGTCATGTTAATGCATCTCACATTTCCCACGATTTTCATGACTGCTCAGCATTGACTTTTTTTAGAATATTTCAAATAACTTGGTTTTCTGCTGTGTGCCTGCACCTATATCCATGTTTATTTGTGAGTGCGTGTGTCACCTTTCCGGTGGCTTCTGGACTGCCATTTCCTTACATGCATGATTAGAAGATTACGATAGTCAGTTATAACAGGTCTCATTGAGAATGATTTCAGTTATCATTTCAATTAGCAGTTGAAAATAATTATGGACACATGATGAACCAGAAGTAGAGAAAGGAAGGAAGATATGTTTCTGAGAGCCTTTTTTCCAAGTAGGGAAAATCAAGCATGGGGAAAGCTTTAGCAGTATAACCATTAATTGAGTTAGAAGCTGTGCCCCTCTCATGTATACTTGGCTATTTGGGTCATTTTGGCAAACGGTCACCTGGCTCCTGATGCTTTGGGAAACAGCTTCAGATACACCCCAGTGTCCTCTCCATAATGCAGGTGCCACGTGTGCTTCTCTCAGCACCCTCTATCTTTATTTTTTTGTTGCACACCACTCCCAATGTCCAGCACACGTGTTTCTATTTTTGGTTTCTGAAGCCATTTGCTGTCCCCAGTAGGAGATTAGAATCGATGTATGTAATGAATAGCCCTGGGGAGCAGCTCTCAAACACTGACAAATAGGACTTGATGTGTAAATACCCCAGATCCTCTTGGCAAGGGTAACTCTTGGATGACTCCAGGGTACACAGTCTACATGAAGCTTGGCCTACTCTGTGGGCATGAACTCCAGCCACCCACAGTGATAGGGGGCTGCGTACCCCTCCCTCCCTCGGCTGTCCACCTTCTTTGTCTTACTCCCCTGTGCCTCATCCGCTTTTGATCCCACCTCCCAGGTAAACTGTTTGCCTTTTGTGGTGTATGTTATGGGGCTCTAAGGCACAGGCAGTTTGCAGTAATAGGGGTGGTGAGAAGAGGTTAGGATCCCACAAAGGTGCAAGTTGCTAGCCTGCAGTTCTGAAAACAGTAATTTTCAATTGTATTTCATCTTGTTGCAGATTCTCATGGATTGAGTGTTAGTGAGACCCAATTCCTGACATTCTGGCTGCCATTCCACCTCTTAACTTTCTACCCAAGAACCTATGTTAGATTGCAAGTACACAATGGCATTATTATAAGAATGATTGATTCAAAGCATTATCTTAAGTACATAATTGGCATGTTTTCATATTTTCACTGTCAAAATAATTACTATTTGGGCCACACTTAATATCTGATTGAATACACCACATATCAGGAAGCTCTGTTCAGAGCCACTGCCTGAAAGAACCTGAGGTTTCACTTCTTGGGTCGGCAACAACTAAAACAGGTCCAATCAGCTGCTGGGAAGAATTGCATGCTTTTCTTGCTACTGTGACACACTTTAAAGTCATTAATTCCCCTGCATGGAACCAGTTGAGTCTCAGTGGTCAAAGGAAGATTGTCTGATTTTAGGTGTGTGTCTCTAGCCTACTTGATCATTAACCATGCAGCTTAACTGGTTTCAAGAGGCCACTGAAAAGGACACAGCACTGTCACCTAATTTCTTTTCAACTAGCACATTCAAGTTTATGAAAATTCAAGAAAGCAAAGAAGAAAATGGTTTTGTTTGTAAGATTCTTAGAATGCACAGTTTCCACCATTAGCATATTTTATCTGTGTTATGCAGCATATATTATTGGGAACTTTCTACAATTGTCAAGGACAAAATAGACTTAAGATGGACATTGATAATGGTGTTTATAATTTGTATGCCCTGTTAGAGACTCAGGAACTATGAAAGCAGAATTTCAAGATATCTGCTTGTTTGACTCTTAGATTTACCAGAATGTTATCATTGGAGAAAATGAGAAAAGTTTGAATTTCAGGTTAATGTTTTATTTGTTGTATTTATCTACCAAAAGTTTTAATATTTAACATCTTAAATGTGAAGACTCTGAGTGTTTGTGAATGATACAGTTTTAAGAGAAGAAGAAAATCTCTTTACTAAAATCAGCTGGCTTTTTAAAGTCTAACTTCTTTGTACATATATTTTACAGATTAAAGGATTTACCTGAAGACAAAGCATTCTATTCATCAGAGACTGGACAAGAGTTACTCTTGCTTTTGGCAATTAAAGATGGTGTTGTCATGGAAACAGTTGATCCTGCTTTCATTCCTTGGCTGCCTAGGAGGTAACAATAAGCTGTATTTTCTAAGGTGAAGTTAGTGCTATTCTCAGATCATGTGCTTAACTAATTTTTAAATGTTGGATTAAAACTCCACTAGTTGCAAAGAGAAATCTTTTTTCCCCAGAAAGAAAATTCACATTCTCAACTTCTGACATTGGGGTTCTCGTACACCTCTCCCTCATTTTTGCAAGTCATTTATTTCCATAGCAAATATAATGATACCTGATACTACAGAGCTCCTGTTGCATTAGGACTATATTGTAAGTATATCCACAGACTTTTGAGATCGTTAATTCATGGCCCTTTTTTTTTCCCACAAAAGAAGCTGAAAGTGGAAAGCTGCAGTGTGCCAGAGAGAATATAAATTTTAAAGTATGTCAGTATTTTCATATCCAATCTTAAAGCATGGTACCATTTTTCTTTTAGAACATAATGAAGTTAGACTTTATAATTTTTTTGCAATTTGAAATTTAGAGCAGAGTACAAAGAAAATGAAAAACTTCTGAGCTTTGTACCATATAAAAACAACTATTATAAAGCATCTGATACATTTGTTCTCTGTTTATTCATTTTATCTTGTTTTCTGGAGAAGTGGATGAACAAACAAAGGGATTTTAATGAGTTAGTATATTTTCCACTAGTTTTATGTTTATTTTTTTGGCCTCCTTTTTCTGAAGACATTTCTGAACAACTAAAAAATAATGCGATGAGGGCTCACATATGCATATTTAAATCTAACTACTGAACCATTCTGCTGTGTTTGTGCTGTCTGGAGGGTTACCTTGGAGATGGGGTGGATTTTGTTCCATGACACCACATTTAGTGAATATTTCAGTAACATGGATGTTTTGGTTTCCCAGAGCCCATAAAAGTTATATTTACACTGTGCTGTAGTCTATTAAGTGTACAATAGCATTATGTCTAGCAAAATGCAGTAACTTAATTAAATAATGGTTTATTGCTAACAAACCCTAAAGACCATCTGAGCTGTCAGCAAGTGGTAGTCCTCCTGCTGGCAGAGGGTGTGTCTTCTTTGATGGCGGCCAAAGGCGGGGTGGCTGTGGCGATTTCTTAGAATAAGCAGCAATGAAGTGTGCTGTACTGATGGACTCTTCGTCACATGAAGATTGCTGTGTAGCATGTGATGCTGTCTGATAGCATCTTACCCACAGCAGAACTGCTTTCAAAATTGGTGTCAATCTTCTCAAACCCTGCTGCCACTTTATCAACCAAGTTTATGTAATCATCTAAATCCTTTGTTGTCAGTATAGAGACTGCTTAGAAAACTAAAAATAGAGCTGCCATATGATCCAGCACTTCCACTACTGGGAATAGATCCAAAAGAAATGAAATTATTGTGTCAAAGTGATACCTGCATGCTCATGTTTATTACACCACTGTTCATAGTAGCCAAGATAGGGAATCAACCCAGACGCGCATCAGTAGGTGAATGAATCAAGAAAATGTCGCATAAATACACAGTGAGATGTGGTTCAGCCATAAAAGAAGAAAGAAATGCTGTCATTTGCAGCAAAATGGATGGAACTAGAGGACATTATGTTGAGCAAAATAAGCAAGAAACAGAAAAATAAGAACTGCATGTTCTCTCTCTTATTGGGGTGCTAAAAATGTTGACATGAACACAGACTAGTGGTTATGAGATGGTGGCTGGGAAGACAGAGGGAGGGTGGTTGTTGGGACTGAAACACAGTCACACAGAAGTTACAAGTTCTAGTGTTCTGCAGTGCAGTGGGGTGACTGTAATTCACAATAACCTGTTATAAATATTTTGTGAACAAACAGAAGAGCTGGAAGACTTCAAATACCAAGTAATAATAACAAGCGGGAAATTATTCTGATTTGATTGGTACACATTGTGTAAAATTGTAGAAATATCACACTGCATCCCATAAATACATAAAGTTATTAACTGTTAATGAAATTTCCGGAGAATTTAACAAGATAGAAATGCTAACCTGATTTGGTCATCACACATTGATTATGTGTACCAAATTATCACACTCTAGCACACAGATATGTGTAATTAAAATAATTAAAGAAAATAAAATCAGCACTAAAAAAATGCAAAATGAAATAAATTCTTTGTTGTTATTTTAACACTGTTCACGGTGTCTTCACCAGAAGTAGATTCTATCTCCAGAAACCACCTTCTTTGCCTGCCCATAAGAAGCAACTCCTCACCTATTAAATTTGATCAGGGGCTTGCTGTAAATCAGTCGCATGTGTAGGCGACACTGCTGATTTTAATTCACATGGGCAGTTAATTCCTCCACTAAAGTCTCGAGTCCCTCAGAATCGTCCATGAGGGTTGGAATCCATTTCTCCCCAGCCCCTGTGCTATTGGTATTCTCATCTCCTTCCATGAATCACTAGTGTTCTTAACAGCATTGACAATGGTGGATTCTTTCCAGGTTTTCAATGTACTGTTCCCAGATCCATCAGAGAAACATCTGTGTATGGCAGTTAGTAACTTACTACAAAAAGTATTTTTTGAATTATAAGACTTGAAATTAAGGTTTACTTTTGATCAGAATGGCTAATCTGTTAGCAGGCCTGAAAATAACGTTAATCTTATTATGCATCTCCATCAGAGCTCTGGGATGACCAGATGCGTGGTCTGTTTTCCTGAGCAATGGGTCTCAACATTGGGTTTGACATACTTAGTAAACCATATAGTAAACAAATATTGTCATCCAGGCTTCATTATTCCGTGTTTAAAGCACATGCAGAGTAAATTTAGCGTAGTTCTTAAAGGCCTTAGTGTTTTCAGGGTGACAAAAGAGCACTGGCCTCAGGTTAAGGTCACCAGCTGTATTAACTCTAAGGAGATAGTCAGCCTGACCTTTGAAATTTGAAGCCAGGCATTGACTTCTCTCTACCTGTGACTGTACTAGATGTCTTCTTCCAGTAGCCGGCTGGGCTGGTTCATCTACGTTTCAAATCTGTTGTTTGGTGGAGCCACCTTCATTGAATATCTTAGCTGGATCTTCTGATGAACTTGCTATAGCTTCTGCATTAGCACTTGAAGCTCCATCATCTGCTTTTGTGCCATGGAGATGGCTTCTTTCCTTAAACCTTATGAACAACATCTGCTAACAAAAAACTCTCTTCTGCAGCTTCCCCCACCCTCCTAGGCTTCACAGAACTGAAGAGAGTTAGGGCCTTGCTCTGGAATAGGCTTTAGCCGAAGGGGCTGTGTGGCTGCTTTGATCTCTCCAGATCACTAAAACTTTCCTGTATCACCAGGAAGGTTATTTCACTTTCTTATCATTTCTGTGTTCACTGGGGTAGCATTTTTTAAAAGATTTATTTATTTATTTTAAAGTCAGAGTTATACAGAGAGAGGAGAGGCAGAGAGAGTGAGAAGTCTTCCATCTGCTGGTTCACTCCCCCAATTGGCCACAACGGCTGGAGCTTCTTCTGGGTCTCCCACACAGGTGCAGGGGCCCAAGAACTCGGGCCATCTTCTACTGCTTTTCCGGGCCATAGCAGAGAGCTGGATCGGAAGTGAAGTAGCAGAGACTTGACGGCACTTCAGGTCAGGGCATTAACCCACTATGCCACAGCGCTGGCCCCTGGAGTAGCATTTTTAATTTCCTTCCTTTCCTTTGCCTTCACATTTGGCTGTTTGGTGCAAGAGGCCTTACTTTGAGCCTATCCCAATGTGCCTTCCTCCTTAAGTTTAATCATCTCCAGCTTTGATAGAAGTGAGAGAATTGCAACTCTCTCTCTCACTTCAACACTTAGAGAGAACTGTAGGGAAATTAGTTTAATTTCCATTTTGTTATATGTCACAGGATAGGGAGGCTTAAGGAAGGGGAGAGAGAGGTGAGATTGGCTGATTGGTAGAGTAGTCAAAGCACACATCTGTCATTTACTGTCTTTCGGGGTACAGTTTGTGGTGCCCCCAAACCATTGCAATGGTAAAATCCACGCACAGTGATCCCACATCACCAAAGCAGATAGAAGAGTAATGGAAATGTGTGAAATATTGTGGGAATTATCAAGACGTGACACAGAGACATGCAGGAAGTATGTGCTGTTGGGAGAACCACAGTGATAGACTTGCTGCACGCAAGATAACCACAGAATCTCAATCTGTAGAAAATGCAGTATCTGCAGAGAGCGATCCAGGAGGTTCTGTGGACACACAAGTGCGTGAATGGTTCCACTTATTTATTTTTTTACTAACTCATTTGAAAGTGAGTTACAGAAATCGTTATCTCTCACCTCCAAAAAATTCAGTATCTGTGTACAAAACAGAGACCAACTTTCTACATAAACAGAATTTCTCTATGATGTCTAAGGAAACCAACATAAAAGCAGTTTATAATTTTTTTCTTTTCTAAGTGGAGGAAATTGGTGTGGAACGAAGCCAAACAAGCATGCTAGGTAAAACACAGGGTATTTAAATAGATGAATATATTAGGGGTCGGTTCAAGGAAAATCTTCAATGTCAGGAAGATTCAAATTTCCAACCTTCTTAAGGTATTTAAGTGATATTATGGCCAAAATAAATAATCAGTATTGGGTTATAGATTCAAACCTTCAACTTTAAAAATAAATGTTTTTATAGGTTTTTACAGTGATGCTTCAATTTTGTTAAAACATGCTGTCTTTAACTGCTACTAATCTAGATCTGAGGGAAAAATGAGTAATTATTTATGAATTATTTATGAATTTTTGCCTTTTCCAATGGACTGCTGCTATCAAAACTGAAATGGCATTTTTTCTTGGATTCTTCACTTAGGAAGTTTCAAATTTGACATCTGTTTTAGTAGGAAGCATAAATGACAGGCAGTATACTGCAGCCGTGTTAACGCTTGGTGATACTAACTTTTTTTTTTTTTTTTAATTTTTTTGACAGGCAGAGTGGACAGTGAGAGAGAGAGACAGAGAGAAAGGTCTTCCTTTGCCGTTGGTTCACCCTCCAATGGCCGCCGCGGCCGGCGCGCTGCGGCCGGTGCACCGCGCTGATCCGA